GGCGGGAGACATAGTTAGGACACAAAGTGGTTTCCGTATAAGAGGACACTGTGTAAGAGCACGGTGTGCCTTCGTGCACTCTTTTACAGTGTAAGGGATTTTTTTCTGTAATTTGTTTGCCTAAAAACCGGTGGAAAATAGAGATCCACCTGAGAGCCTGGTTTATACAAAATCATTGAGACCACTGTGGACTCTGAAAAAGTATAATGTAACCAATAAATACTCCCTGTCTCAACAGAATAGCTAATAATGACCTCTTACATCCAAGAAGGAAGAGAAGTTATATGATTTGCCAGCACAGAATTCTACACTTAGTGTAGAATTCTGTGTTTGCCAGTGACTAGCGTGGTGAAGATAGGAAAATAAAGCATATAATGGAGATCAATTTGCAATGATCACGAAAACCACAACACACCAAAGTTGCTAAAGTGGTGGGCTTACCTGACCTGCCAAAAGATATTGTTTTGTTGGGTTCTTATGGCTTCGCTGGTGACCTTCAAGCGTTATTTTTTTTTTTAAATAAAGACCCATTTTTCAACAACAACAACAAAAAAACACTTGTGGTGGTATAATAAGTTGGGCCAATGTCAATGTCAAATTCAACTGTCTTGATTTTCTTGCTTCATCCGTTGCCTTTGCTTTACAAGCCAAGTTTAGTTTGTCTCAAAAACCTTGCTGCCACATGTCATGACTTTACACCTCTGTGGTCGGTCAAGACACTACTAACGAGCGGAATCCCACTCATCCACATCAATGATGCAATCTTTCAGAAAAGTCTTCTCAGCGTCCTCATATCTTGTTTTTTCTTGTTTTTTTTGTGTTGTTTTTGTGTTGTTGTTGGGTTTTTTTGGAGGGGGGGGGGCATTCCGCCCTACTCCTACCAATTCTTGGTATATGTGTGGGAGCCGTGTGTTTGGCATTCGGACTAACTGCGCGTTCACCCCAAACTCTCGGACGAGCGATAGTCGTTTTAACGACAAAGGCAGACCGACCAAATATAGGCCTACTTTTAAAAATCTCTTAACCTTCATTTTCGTTCAGAACTAGATCTAGGCCTTCTCAATACTGAGAAGCTCTAGGTTCAGACAAAGCAACGATAACAACAGAGTTTTTGTCTTGTCCGCGCAGTTAGTTGTACGCACAGAATTCTACACTAGAATTATGTGGTTGTACGTCAGTACGACTGTCGCTCGTCCGAGTTACGTGTTTGGTGTGAACGCGCGGCGTATGTATGTATGTATGTATGTATGTATGTATGTATGTATGTATGTATGTATGTA